TCTAAAATTTTGGTCAAACTCAAGAAAGTTTGACTTAAAAAGTCAAAGCAACTTATAATATAAAACGGAGGGAGTAGAAAAGAGAAGAATACATGCTATTATGCTTGTCATATGCCTACTAAAGGATCCAGATGAATCCACTTGGCATGGCATAAAGACTCAGTTTAGCTGTTTATTTTGGCAACTTAAAATTTAAGTAAATCTTAATCTGGGACACATCCCATCTAAAGAAAAATTAAGAGCATCCTGTAGAATTGATTCCTTCACTATATGTAAATCAATCTCTCTGGCAATACTAAAACCCCTATAGGTATCGATCATAGGTGTCAGTTTATTTAAAACCAGCACCTATGAACCTTTTTCTACCTTCATGCGATAAAAAATATAGAACCGGAACATTTGAGAATTGTAGGTGCCACTTCTAGAGAAAAAAAAACTATAGGTACCAGTTTTTTAAAAGAACGTATTATAGGTGTCGGTTTCTTAAAAAACTAATACCAGTCTAGCCGATCCGAGCCAGCAGGATGGGAGCGAGATATTTTAGCGAGGATAGGAGAGCGCCTTATCCTATCCTCATCTCTCTCTCTCGCACATCTCTTTCTCCCTCCTATCTCTCGCACATGTGCCTGCCTCCTGCTCCCTCTCTGTCTTCCACTCCTCCTCCCCCTTCCTCTTCATCCATCACCCCTCCTTCCCTCCCTCTTCCTCATCCCTCTCCGTCTGCTGCCCCTCCTCCCCTTCCCTCTCCGTATTTTCTTTCCGCCCACTGCCCCTCCTCCTCTCCTCGGCGGCGCCCTCTCCTCTTCACCACTTCCTCCCTGCTCTCACTCCCCAGTCGCGCTGGATCCGATCACCTAGAGGTCGGGGGCCACCGGATCCGAGCTCCTTGAGGTCAAGGCTCGCCTGATCCAGCCGCCTCTGACCTCACCACCGTGGAAGCAAATGATGGCGGCATCTCAAAGGAGATGAACAGCAACGATTCGGGGAATCGGCGATGACGGCGGCAGATCCATTGGGACGGTGTGTCCGATATGTTGAACATGTAATTGTCGTCCATGGTAGAACATGTAACGGTGAATTGTTTGTTCTGGTTTGTGATGTATTTGTTCTTGTCTTCTTGGTTTGTGGTGTGCTTGCTTGTTGTTGATGTGTTCATATACTCTTCTGTTCTTATTGATTTCCAATGTAGATGGAGAAATTGCAGATGGGGCTAGGAATCAGGGGGCTGAGAATCGGATCCGGCCTACAAAGATTTTTGATTGAATAAAAGTCTTTGTGATTCGAATTGTGCAATTTAATTAAGTTTGTTCGTTGGAACCATTATGGAAGTCCAATAAAAATCTACAATGCTCAAAAGTTGCTCCAACAAAGAGGATTCCAAATATTCCTTTTATATCCAAATACCCAATATGAAATCAGGGAAAGTTAAATATTTAGCACTATTGGGTTTAGCAATATTCTTTGGTTTGCACATCTAAAATTGCCACTAGATATAGGGACTTCTTAACTGTTTGTCTCTTTTACCTACATGAAGTGCTAGCATGAAAAGCACCGTGGGACCCACAAGTCAGTCTCTCCCTCCCCTTCATCTTCCCCTCTGGCACAGGCACATAACTAAAACCATCAACATGCCGCCTCTGCCTTCTCCTCCCCGTAGCACCTCCACCACTCACCGCCTTCTTCCCCAGCCTTCGACAACCCCGCACATAGCTCGCTCCGAGTCACACCGAGGTTGGAGTGCCTACTTGCCTGTCTAAGCCCTAGCTCCGTCACACCGTGAGCTATGCCTGCCTGAACCTGCCTACCTGCTTGCAAATTCTCCACCACAGTATCGACAATATACCATAATCCTTGGGATAGCAGCAACATCCATATTTTGATACTCCATATATCATTAGTTTCTTATGTAAATACAGTAACCAAAGACTACGCCATGGTGGCGTCCGAACTTGAAACCATACCTACAGCTTCAATTGACAATGTCAATACACCGCACTACTTCATCACGCCCTACTAGCCTACTTGAACATGTGCACTCTGATACCAGTTATTGGTGTTGAATATGTTTCCAAGCAGGGAACAGAGCAAGTACTCATCACAGTGAAGCTAATGTTTGAAAGTTGTACAGCTTGTGTGCTAGTAACTTACTGGTATTCCTCGGTATAAATGGTCAAACGGCCCTGGGCTCGATGGGTTTTGGCCTAGCCCAAACATGGTATGGCCCGAATGGTGTCAGGTCCATGCCAGCCCGACCTAACCTTTGGGCCGTGCATGGGCCTCTTCCTGGGCACGATGGGCCAGCTCGGCACAGCACGAACCAACGATTAGGGAGCCAAAATAGACTTACTTTAGCCATATAAGGCATAGCCCAATAGATGAGCGAGGCAAAATAGACTTATTCCACAAAAGAGCACAGTGGGCTTTTGTGTCTTCGGGCCGGCCCGACACGACCTGAGTATTATTGGGCCATGTATGGACCATTGGTGGAGCCCGTGAGTGAGCACAACCTGGCCCGGCGTGTAGGTCGAGCCGTGTCGGCCCAACTTGGGCTTGGTCATGCGCGGGCTAGGCTAGACGGCCCATTTGGCCATCTATGTTTTTGGGTCCGAAACATCAGTCACTTACACATACATTAACTACCTATTTATAGGCTATACTCCATCCGTTCCATAAAAAAACCAACCTAGTACCGTATGTTAACGACCAAATTTGGTAAATCATGAATCAGGTTCAACATCGGAATCGAAGTGGATCCGGCAGAGAATCGTATTCAAAGGACAGAGTACGCATCGGCTGCTAGGGGCGTCGGCTGAAGACCGCATCGGCTAAGATGAATCGGACAGAAGTCAACTAATACAGCCGATGTAGCCGATTTCATTGAGATGGTTATGGAAACATCTCCGGGATTGATCAACATGCTACACAAGGATTCACACGATGGAGATAAGCTCATGGATAGGCAATTGTATCTATTAATTAGGATATTTTAAATAGTTTCTTTAGAGATATATTTCGGCAAGAGTCTGCTGTAAAGACTTGTTGGTATCTTAGAGTTTGTCAGAGATAAGAGTCATGTCCGGCAAGGACCAGTTATGTATCTCGGGTATAAATATGACTCGATCCCATGTAATTTACAACACAGTTCAATAACACTTTCGGCTCATCGCCACCCTTTTTCTACTTTCATTGTTTCGATAAGTTTTTGCTTTCGGGTTGAGCTGCATCGATTTCGATCTTCAACAAGAGGTAAAGCTTGTCATGATGGCTTGCGTTCTCGGGATTAGTGCTTCCATCTTTACGATACCTTAATCTTGTTTATATAAATCGTCGAATTATCATATATGCATCATAATCTTTATTAGTATTATGATCTAACCCTCGATCGGCCAGTACTCTATCCTTGTAAGGTAGCCGATAGAGTTAGATCTAGTTGTTAATCTAGATTATATAGCATATCTACCATCTCCTAGAGAGATTTTCGTCGACCTGTTTAGATCTTGCATTTATTCTTATGCTTAATGCTGCATCGGTTGAGTTCGATCTATTAAGTAATTTTCATAACTGCAATATCTAGCTCGTTTTATGGTCATCAATAGAGATAGTATCGGGGTTTCAGCCGATCTTACCTAATTTAGCTACTTTATTTCTTATATATTCGCTTGATATGCTAAATCTGTCCTTTATATTAAGATCTTATTGCTTTAAAGTATATTAGGCTTTCTGTTTGATATATTTTGCCTGTTTTAATATCTTAATATAGAGTGGTATCGGAGTATTAGCCGATACATGTTAGATCTATTTAATCGGCTATGCTATAAACGTACGTATAATCGTTATCTTAAAGTATCTTTCAACATAAGTGATTTATATTGTCTCGACTTACTGTTCGATCTATCCCAATCACTTAGTGATTTATATTGTCTCGACTTACTGTTCGATCTATCCCAATCACTTAGGCCTGGTTTAGTTCCTAACTTTTTCGATCTATAAGTGATTTATAGGACGGAGGGAGTACAACTGAAGCCTGGTTTAGTTCCTAACTTTTTCTTCAAACTTCCAACTTTTCTATCACATCAAAACTTTCCTACACACACAAACTTCCAACTTTTCCGTCACATCGTTCTAATTTCAATCAAACTTCTAATTTTAGTGTGAACTAAATACACCAAATACACCCTGAAGCTTCAAGAACTTAGTAGAAAGAAATACTACTACACTACTATTGGCTGCCTACTGCTACTAGTACAAGGTTCCTCGAGAAATGTTCCCTCGTTAACTCTAAAAAATTTGATAACACTCATAAGATACATGTATACAACTATCTTAGGTTCAAACTCAACTTACATGTCGAGAAATAAAAAATGATAAATTTAGCACATGAATAATAGCATATTGTTCACTTCTAAATTTGTCTTTTTTTCCTAGATGTGTAAGTAAAATTTGAACTTGATTTTTAATGGAACGATAGATATCACTATACTCTATATTGTAAAAAAGACACAATTTTTTACAACTATTTGTACCGAATTTAAAAGAAAAAGGTACACGAGAGGGGCATTCTCTCGAGGGATTTTTTTTTTTCTGACGATCCGTACAAGACATTGCGAAGATTCATATTGATATAGCATGAAAAAATTATAAGCTTATAAACCGAACGAGGGTCGTAATCAGGGAAAAAGAAAAAGCCGCATCGAATTGGTTACCGTGTTGTCTAAGTAAAATTCAGGAAATGTATTAGCTCCAACAGGATCGACCCCGGCCGCGGATTCGACGTACGAGATGCCGATCCGGTCGACCGGGTTGGGCCTCCCTCCGCGCGCCGCATCTATTGGCGCGGCGAGGCGACCGCTTCTTCTTCTTCTTCTTCTTCTTCTTCTCATTCCTGCATCCTGCATATGCTTCGTATACGCGTATACACACGTACGTCACCTTCCGCGTTTACGTACGTACGTACACGTGCAACTTGCATTTCTCTTTTGCTAACTGTCTGCATATATAACTGTATTTCAGCTGACGTGAGTGAAAGGGTTGCCGCGATTTTAATTTGCGGCGAGTGAATGATTAGCAAAGCTAGCAAAAAGTCTTCATCTTCCAAGATGACCATTTCCGTACATGTGTATACATGTGTAACCGTAGAAAAATGCATGCACTGACTGACTGAATTATGCAGCTTCTCGCGCTAACTATCAACGTCATGGAAAATTCTTTTATGGGTTTGTGCAAATTAAATAAAATTAACATGTATGCGATCGAGATGTACCCAGTTGAGCAATCGCAAAGTCTTTTTCTTCCTAATTAGATGACCATTTCTTGTACTTGTGTAACCGTAAATGCACTGAACTTAGTGCCTCATCTACCTATCTGCATCACTGACCATTTCTATAACGAACTCCGGCCACAAAGTTCAGTTAATGTTCAGTAATCTCAGTATATATATCCATGTCATTCGATCGGCACTGATCACTCCACATCAAAACTAATCCCGATCATTCGATCAAAGACACAAAGAAGAAGATCAAGAACACAACACCCATCAAATTACATCCAGGTCATAGATATTCGATGGATTATTATCACTTCGATTTCGACTTGGCAGGCCACGAGACGCTGGCCAAGTTCGCGGCGTTCGTGGTGGTGCAGGCGCTGGTGTACCTCATCCTCTCCTACTCCTCCGCCGTCTTCGTCTCCGGCGGCGTCGCCGGCCACGGTAGGAGCGCCAGCTTCCGGCGGCCGGACGGCGTGGAGAGGTCGGAGAGCGCCCGCCGCATGGCCGCGCTGCTCGCCGCCGAGATGACGCCGCGGTTCGGCGGCGGCGAGCCGTCTAGTCCCGCCGGCGGTGGCCAGCCGCAGGGAGGGCGATCGACGTCGAACGACGACGACGGCGCGCGCGGTGACGTGGAGCTGGAGCTTCTGCTGATCCGATGCTGCTCCTTCTCGTGCTGATTTTTTTTTTTTTGGTTTGATTTTGGTTTGGTGTGTAATTAATTTCAGTTCTGGATGTATACGGTTTGTATGCATGGCTGCAAAATTCTTTCATTGTTCGTTTGAATGCTAAGTAAGATGCATATATTAATGTATCCCGGTATAATTTGAGTTATATTATGACCATAATCTTGTTTTGATGCAACTGTTCTGTCTTGGTTTCTATGAACAAGGTGTGGTTCTGGAGACGTCATTGCATGACTCCTGACCATGGGATTCAAATCGTGCCCATAGATCGATGTTACGCATACACGCAGTTTATCCTATCGGTAAAAATTTCAGTGAAGCCAATGATTTGAAGTAGTGGCTTTTTAAGAATTAATGTGTTTGGGGCCTTAATTAAGGGGTATGTGATAGTGTTTGCGTGCACGTGTGATGACGTGTGTACGTATATCTTTCATGAAGAGTTGAAAAGTTTGGGCATTATCAATAGATGTCTAATATGGATTCCAATACTAAAATTTTTTGAGCATTTGTTGAAATTTGGTTCCGAGAGTTGTCCTAATTACGTGACCAAAAATTGGAAATCCTATTTCTTCATCCCTTCTTGATCCCTGCGTGGAAAGGGCAAGAGGCGACACGCATGTGGAGGGATCGCTTCGGGCCAGAGGAGGAGAGCATTTTTGTTTCTGGTGGTAGTTTCAAGTTAAACCCACTTGTTATTTTGGGAGTCATTTTTTAGATATCTTTTAAGAGAGGAATTAACACCTTAAAATCTAATTAGGAATCTAAAAGCGTACGTAATTTTTGGGATGGACTTTTTATTTTGGTATACGATGGTGAATTGGTGATGCTCTAACCATTGCTGCAATGCTGCATTTACACACCTCTAAGCAGCAGCCAGCTGTTTAATTAGTGGGGTTTTGAATTCAAAATTTTGTATTTAAACTTTTGGCATAATTAATACCTAATTTTTCAGAGATCTGGCATATAATGCATCACAAGAACGTAGAAAACTTAATAGTAATCAATATGAAGTCAAATTTATATGATTACTATGCTTAATTTACATAGGATTGGTCGGTATTAATCAATATAGATTTTGATTTCATAGGGTAAAGACAAAACCTAGCCATCAATTTTCAATAGCATGGTTGAACGAGTATGTCTTTGATGCATTACAACATCCTAAATATTTGAATTAACATTGATATTATACAGTCTATACGCCAACAAGAGCTCATAGGGACTGGGTTTTGCTATATTTCAGTATTCACTGTATAATATCAATGTTAATACTAATATTTTCTAGGGGGCCTTGTTTAGTTCCCAAAACAAAAACTTTTCACCCATCACATTAAATGTTTGGACACATACATGGAGTATTAAATATGGAAAAAAAACTAATTACACAGTTTGCGTGTAAATTGCGAGGTGAATTTTTTAAGCCTAATTGCGCCATGATTTGACAATGTGGTGCTACAGTAAACATTTGCTAATGACGGATTAATTAGGCTTAATAAATCCATCTCGCAGTTTCCTGGCAGAATCTGTAATTTGTTTTATTATTATACTATGTTTAATACTTCAAATATGTGTCCGTATATCCGATGTGACAACCAAACCCAAAAATTTTTCCCAACTACACAAAGCCTTAGGGGGTGTTTGGCTGAGAGGGAGGGACTTATTTTTTGGTGAGAGGGACTAAAGTTTAAACCCTCTCACCAAAACACCCCATTAGTTAGCTTCATGTGCTCTGTCCTTTCTGCCCTGTAACTCCACTATGGCTTGTACGTCGGCGGGTCATAAACTCATAGTTGCAAAAACTCTTTTCCTGAGCATTCGAAGAAAAAACAATGAAATGAGACTCTTCTATGTTTTTTTCCCTTCTTTTTCCATTGAAGGTCCTTGTCGATATATAAAGTTTAAATTTATTTTAGTTCTAAACTAGGATTATCCTTGTCAATATATACAGCTAACCTAGTCGGCCACTGATCCAGAGCTCCAATCGACCATGACAACGCTTTATACTTTCTTTAATTCGCGAGGATTATTTACTATTTTATACTTTCTCCGACGCTTCTCCTTGGAGGCTTCGTTTAGAAGATCCTGTCCTACGTTGTCTTTGTGGTCGCCTACGAATACGTTGTCTTTGTGGTCGCCTAGTTCGTAGTTTGTTCTTAAGAAGTTGGAGCTGCTCCTCTGAGCTTGGCAACGATGACTTTTGTTTCGAACTTCAGTAGTGCTGCTGCATGTGTCCTGTACTGTTCCTCGTGTGGGTCTTTGGCCGATTTCCCTCAATTAACCACACACTTGTGAGATTTTTGGGCCCGGTTTTCCCTAAAAACTGAGCCACCTCTCTTCTTCTTAAATGAAAACTGGAACTCCCTATCCTCTTTTGAGGTTTACCTTAAAAAATTCATGTATAAAAGCGAACTTATTTTAAGAGGGAGAAAATAGTAAATAATCCTCTGATCGATCGATCCATCGTCTCTGCTACACTTCTTCTGTCCTCCCATAACATTCCGCGTATATACACACATGCACCCTCGCTACTTGTACAGCCGTTTCTTAACTGACTTGCTAACTATTTTTTCGCGGATCGACATGCATGAGGAATGGAGGAGTTGACTTATTTATAATAGTGAATGATTAGCTCAGTTGTTTTTTCGCTGCGGGGACCATGTATGCAATCATAGAGCCTCATCGGCTACCCACATTTTCTAACTAGGTGAGACCCTCACGCATTGCTGCAAGAGTTTAATATGATAACAATAGGTAAAAATAATGTGTAAGATAGTTTAAACAACATAAGTTTTCACAAATTTAAGTTTACATAAGTTGATATGATTTAAATTTAAATAGTAAGTAAAATGATGATTCAAAACAGTACGTGGCTTTATGAGATATCAAAAGAAGAAAGATAATTTAGACCATACATCTAAGAGCTAAAAAAATAAGATGATTGTTAACAGTGAAATTTGGTAAGCCCGGAGTAATCATCAGCTTAGAGTCAGCATCGGCTTCGAAGTCCTGAGATTAGCCGATGAGAGTTATCAAATTGTCAGTTGTACACCCGGGGTCTATGTAATCTATCCTCACGATCAGGTAAAAGGTAAAAGGTGGCGATGCGCCGAATTGTATTGATCGGCTAATCTCAGGACTTCGAAGCCGATGCTGACTCTAAGCTGATGATTACTCCGGGCTTACCAAATTTCACTATTAACACATGCCCCCCAGTTTTGGAGTATGAGAACTCATGCTTCAAAATTATCTTCTTTCTCTTTCTTGTAATCGGCTTTCATGAGCTGATACTGATGTGCTTCACCATGCTGAAGCTGATGCGCTTGCCCCCCGAGCCGATATTGTTGTTCCTTCGTTAAATTCTCCACTGTGACCATGATCTTGGCATTGACTTCTTCTTCAGACATGTAGATATAAAATTCGTGGTCTCACCGGGCGTGCTAATCTGTGTTGATGAAAAAATCGAACACACCGGCCTGGGAGATCTGCTTAGCTCCTGTGCAGGTCCAAAGATTAATGAGATGTGGGCGTGCCAGTCAGTTTGATCCTGCAACTGACAAGATATTGCAAATAATAGATCAAACAGCCGATCGGCTGACAAGCCGATGGAGTAGTTCCAGCCGATAGCCGATAATAGCTGATGCCGATACCAGCCGATAGCGATAGGGTTTAAGCAATCGGCTATATGTCCAATGTAGATAATGATATAAAGGCAATCGGCTGATGATGATATAATAAAATAACAATATAATCCAATATAAACCAATCGGCTAGCAATGATATGATAAATAAGCATCGATCCGAAGGTTAAAGCACACATCGGCTGGAGGTCCGATGTCATGAAATCCACAAGATTAGATTAAACAATGAAACCTTTGTTGTCATCGGCTAAATCCAACTTATATGTATATGCAATCCTCATGAGCCGATGCAACGTCCAGATAACTCACCGGCTGAAACCCCGATGAAACCCTTATTGGCAATCAATAAGCAGGCTAGAGATTATGGTTCTAAGCACGACTTAGCATATCAAACTTAACTGATGCAGCACTAAGTATGAAAAGAAACATAATATCTAGACAATCAAGCCGATGACTGATTTTCAGGGTGGTAGATGCCTAGGCTAATCTAATCTAGCAAGACGATTTAGCCGATACCGGCAGAAACCCTAAAGCGAGAGACAGCCGATAGAGCTAAATTGATATGCTAAGACTAGATTAACAGAGACATGATAAATAGGTAGGCAAATATATCATCCAAACCAGAGCAATCCAAGAGGTCGAATGTACTGATGCAGCCTTGAACGACACCGACGTAAACGTTACAATTGCCCGGGCCGGTGGAACATTGGACTTACCCTTTAGCCGGAGATCGAACACCGATGCAGCCCCGCGTCAGGTGCCAAGTCCCGCCGGACGATAAAATAAAGTAGAAAAGGTAAAAGGTGGCGATGCACCGAATTGTATTGATCGTAAAGATAGATTATATAGACCCCGGGTGTACATATTTATACCCATGGGTTGATACACGTCCTTGTCGGACAAGAAAGAAACTAACCTAAAGATAAAAAGAAAATATAAAGTCCTTATCGGACACTAAACACACTTTCCTAAAGATAAAAGGAAACTAACAAACTATTCCTAATTAATAGATAAACTGGCATGCCGCATTCTCTTTAAACTCGGTCACTTAGGGATAAGCTTCCTTTAGTAGATTGATTTCCTTAACCGAATATAGCAGGAATCCGACTATTGGCGACTTGATAACTCCCATCGGCTAATTCCGAGATGTTGCAGCCGATAATGATTCTAAGCCAATGACGTCTTTGCCGATTACCAAATTTCACTGTTAAGAATGATATGGCTTAATAAGAGAAGAAAAGAAGAGAGATAATTTGAACCATAGATTAAGCATCTAAGGAGAAAAGAAAAATAACATGAACTAAGTGAGGATGAACTATATAGGCATATAGGATATTATAAAAAATGATGGAAATATATATTGACATATCATGTGAATTATATTGGATGATTTAACATGCTTACATTTTTAAATCTCTAAAATTTAATAAATTATTAAATTATAGATAATATAGCATGCTTGGATGATGCTTAAATGTTATAATTGTTAATGGATGATGATGTGGCATCT